AAATGTCACCATTTTGGTAAAATGCATTGGAGTCAATAGGGGAGGTGAAATAAAGGTGAATTTTAAGGGTACAGTGTGTTTTTAATAGCATCCATAAGGTTTCAGAAACTGCTTTCAACTATCCTGGACTTGTTTTTGTGTCAAAAGTAGGACCTTTTGATAGGGGGAGGTAATATCTCTAGAATTACATCATCCTCATTGACTGAAAAGAAAAAGACGTTAAATGTAGACCGTCTCTACTTCCTCTGAAATGCTGGCAGCCATATCACGGCTTCTGTTGGTGCTATGTAGCTAGCTTGCTCTTTATATGATATTGCAGATTGTCAGCAATAAAGCTTTAACATCTGGCCTCGCAAGCCTATGAATGCCTGGTGCCTCTACTGGTCCTTGTCTATAGCGGCTCATGTTTCCATAAGGCAGCCAGACTTTCTGGTACTTGGCTGCCCCCAGGTCTTCTGTACGAAACTCCAGATGTTCACTGACAAGGCACACTGGGTGCCAAGCTAACAGGCAGGTTGAAGCAGAGGTCGGTCCAAACTTTGAGTGGCTTCACCACTAGAAGCAAACATCACTAAGCAATTAGGTCACAAAGTGAAGGTCAAGGAGGACTCAGTTTATTTTTGGGGATACGGATGGAGAATAAATATGTGTATGTATATCTAAAAGAGATTGTACAGTTAGACATTATGGCCATCTTTAGATCTAAAAAATAAATATGTTCCACCCTTAAATGGTTTCTATAACCAAAACGTTCGGCGGCTCCATTGGTGAGATTCCCTTACTTCCTGTCTCGTATAAAGGTTGTCCCCAGGACAGGAAATGAGAAGAAAACTCTTTAACAGCAACGCAGACCAAAGTAAAAGTTCTTTTTTTAAAGTTAAGTAGGAGAATGCTAGAACTCCTGTCAGCTTTTTATTGTTTTTTCACGGTTAAAGTTTTTCCCTCACTTCCTGTCTGGTAAAAGGTTGCCCCCAGAACAGGAAGTGCGGTTAAAGCACTGTAATGGAGCCACGGATTGGAGTAAAACCTGACAGGGGATCTAATCTTTGCCCATAGTATCGAAAAGAAGAAAACAAAGTAATGATATGCTGACTAGAGCCGGGGGTATCTGCACATCCTGTGGTTACGTGCGGCTAGGGGTAGATGACCACCCCTGAACACGACAGTATGGCAAAAAAAATGGCAAGGGAAAGCAAAGAAAAATCAAGTAGTTTAAATCCTTACTCGCAGTGTTTTTCCTTTTTATAAATGATTTTTATTCACTTGCAATGTTTCTTTGCTAGAACCTTTGACTACTCCAGGAAGAGTCAGTTCTCTATTCACAGCCCCTTTGCTCCTTGCACATCATCTACTGGGAATGTCTAATTACGCTCTGTGCTGGCCTACCTCCTCCACCCCTCTCTTTACCCCCCTATATAACCTTTTGTTGTATCTGCTGAGGAAGGAATGAAGGGGAATACCATAGAATGTCACTTGAGTGGCAGCTCTGCTGGGGGTACTGATATCACATCCAAGGTGGTGACAGTCAGCACCAGTCTCAGGCTTTTGGATGTCAACACAAGGAAGGCTTTTACAGGGAAATAGCATGGATAAAATATGTTAAATGCAGATATTGCAAAGGTGTATTTGCCATTGAATGGTAAACTCCTTGCAACTAGGAGACAAAGGCAAGGCCATGTATATGGGGGGAAAAAACCTTCCAGTTAACCACTTCTCATTGTCACACACTGACAGTATTTTGATATCTCCATAAACTCACCGTGTTGTGGAATTGATTAAATCTAGTTCCATAATTTGGGTTTCTAGGGATCAATAAGCAGGGTCGATCATATACCTGTGTTAGTAATATATTGCCATTGTTAACAATATTACTGTAAAAAAAAGAAAACGTTTGCTATGTTATACTGGCGATCCAAACAAACAAAAAAATGTCTTGCTGAAGCTTTTTTCCCTGTCCTGTATCTATTACAAAATCCATCTATTCAAATATAGCACCAATAAGATTCCTGGCATTGGCCGGTGTTGTATTTGGAATTGATTGCAGCTTGGCAGAAGTAGCCCTGCTTTGTGCGTAATTAATGCCAAACTGTGATTATGGCCACATGCAAATAACGCCAGTTTAAAGATACTGTTATATGTTCCAGTTCATTGATGATTCCCCCCCCCCTTATCGCTGTTCTTATCCAGTGACAGTGCGCACTTTTAACGTTAATTGATAAGTAAAAAGGAGGCGTGCATTTGCAATCTCTGTTTTTCTTTTTCTTTCGGCAGCGTGGATTTTAGGCAGGTCAAGAACGTTTAATACACACAGACCCCCCCCCCCCCAAATGATCTCTTAACCAGAAATATAATGAAAGTTTATTTAGTGATGGGTGCGGAAATCAGTTTAGCCAGGCAGTGACCACTGTGTTGAAGAATTCGAAGCGGAGTGGTAGCACATTACAATCAGTAGTGAATTTCTAATCATAATATGTGTGTGAGCTTATTTAAAATGACACTATATTTTCTTTTCAATAACTGCACATTGCATTATTATTATTATTATAGAATACAGCTGAAATATTTTTTTGGACTAATTTTTGCTTGCTGTTCTATATTTTCTTTGTTGTATTACATATACAGGTTTGTAAATGCTCCCTCTTGTGGTCATGTGAGTTAGTGTCATTTTTATATTGTTTGTAAACCCCAACGATGAAATTCTTTTATTTGCTCCCTTTTGGTCTGTTAAATATAACATTAGGCGCATTTTGTGAAAAGGACACCACTCACACTCACACTCATATGCCCAAACCCATCAGTCCCATCCAAAATACCAGGTGCTGGCCAACAGAGGCACGCCACGGCTGCCACCAGCAATCCAATGCATCCAAAGCTGCACTCAACATCCACAACCTCGATGTAAAAAAGTTTATTTCCAGGAATCTACCATGTTAAAAGCAATACAAGATCCACAGGCTCTGACATGTTTCATCAACAAAGGCTTAATCATAGAGACGTTTTTTTACATCGAGGTCCTGGCTGTTGAGTACGGCTTTGCATGCATTGGATTAAGAACATTTTGTTATATCGGTTTAATAAGTTTAAAAAATACCAGTTGATCCTTCCCAACATGCAGTGATCTTTTAAGTTCCAAATACTTTATAGTAGAACTGCAAACACAAAGGATTGAAAAAACATTGCAGATTAAATACATATATGTGAACTGTTTTATTTTTCATATGATTTTAATGCTGTTCAGCCAGTCTTTTGATTATTGCAAATGTGCCACAATGCACAGCTAAGCAGATGATGCTTCTGTTTCCTGTTTAAGGAACTGCAACTTCATGTGTCACCTGCCTGCTTCTTGTGGAAAGGACCAGTTGTATTATGATGAGAACTCATTTTCCAAGTGGTATGCAAATGACACAGGAGGAATTCTAGCTGAAATAGGAAACACTGGTGTCACTTGGCTCACTCGGCATCATACCTGTATGTAAATCAAACGTGTGACAAATCCTTTAGCAGCTAAAACAGTTCACATATATGTATTTTAACTATGTACAATATTAAGCTGGAGTTCCATGGGTGTTGAGTGGAGCAGGTCTTTACGCAAAAAGATGGGACAAGTTTATACATGTAGGGGACATCTACCCTAAACTGCAATCACCTTTAGATATACTTACAGGGTTATTCACTAAAGGGGGAAGAGTTTGGAGAAGGCAGGAGAAGTGAACAATCTAGGCCAAAATAGCTGATCTGGAAAAATTCTCCAATTCAGCTCACTTTCCAGTTCAGCTGATGTTGTCCTAAATTGTTCTCTTCTTCTGCCTTCTCCAAACTCCCTGTTAACTTTTAACATGCTAAGGGGATTTCCAAAGGTTGACATTATGTCCAGAAATACGTGCACCACTCATTGTTTCCCTTCGTTTTTCACTTTGCAATTCTCCACAACTGTCAATCATGGCACACATACTGCTACCCCTGGCCACTAGCATTGACCCGGAGAGATGTAAGTGGCTCATAATTAGTGATGCACCGTTACTGTTTTTTTGGTCATCAAGTACGAGTACCGATATATTTTTTTCCGGTACTTACCGATATCGGTGCCGTGTGCCCCGATTATCAGGCAATCAGGATCATGACCTGATTGCCTGGGAAGCCAGTGTTCTATCGAATGAACACTGGCTTCACTTTCCCAGGGCTGCCTAGCAACAAGTGAAGCCAGCTTCCTGGCCAATCAGGGAGGTGGGTCATGTCGTGCCTCCCAGCCTCCTGATTGATTCGGAAGCCAGGCTGCCTAGCAACAAGTGAAGCCAGCTTCCTGGCCAATCAGGGAGGTGGGTCATGTCGTGCCTCCCAGCCTCCTGATTGATTCGGAAGCCAGGCTGCCTAGCAACAAGTGACGCCAGCTTCCCAGCAAATCAGGTAGCTGGGAGGCTGATTGGAAAGGAAGCCGGCTCTATGATCCCTCGGCACTGCCGGTCAGAGGGAAATCTATACTAGTATCGGTGCATCCCTACTCGTAACACAACCAATAGTGTGGCATCTGCTAGGATCATATTACATGCAGCAAGTTTATTATGAGTTTGTCTCCCTTCCACAGACCATCAGCAAAATGCATTTTTATTTATTTTTTTGCTAGCTTCCTATATACTCCTTATTCACTTCTTTTTTAGCACTTTTTAACTGTTCTTAATATGAAAGTCTAATCTTTACTGCTGCAGACAACATCACATTGTTCCATAAAATTTCCTTTTTGTCTCGTTTTGCATTCTATTACATTTCAAGCCCTTGTGTTTTTTTTTTTTTTTGTCTGGCGATCATATCCACTTTAATGTAAAAATGTAATCTCAGGTTAACATGTTTTGAAAATTAAGCAACCATGGTGGTAAATGAGGTACTAAGTGGATGTGTGCAATGATAATTTTCATTACTGTGCAAGCAATAAGGCATATGTGGAAACTCAGTTATTTGCATATGAGTAATCCTGTTTAATTTCAGTGTTTTGTTCTTGATTGCAGGTGGCAAATTATGGTCCTACCTAAGTAAGTTTTTAAGCAGAAGCACAGAAGGAAGCTTTGATGTCCCTCTGGCTAAAAGTTCCAATTCCAACGAAGATTTTTTGAAAAATCTTGCTCCGTGTCCACGCAATAGCATTGAGTCTAGGGAAAGTGGTGGTGGGAACAGACTTTCGGTACAGCCACTGCACAGCAGTCTCACTCTGAGCTCCCAGGACGACAGCAGTACACAAGATGACGAAGGAAGAGAGAGCCCTCTAAAATGGGCCGACTCTCCCTCCAGCTCTGAAGAGGAATGCACGACGAGCTATTTAACTTTGTGCAAAGAATACGGCCAGGAAAAAATGGAACCCGAAACCTTGAGTGATGATCCGTTGATTAAACTGGGAGGCGTAGACAGTGCCAAAGATTTAGACATACTACAAAACCCACTTTTGAACAAGTTTGACTCACAGCTCACCTTTGATGAGCTTAAATTATTACAAGATGTTGAGGAGGAGACCATGGGGCAGACCTCGCTGTCCGATGCACTGAGCAAATCCAGGAACAGTCCAATGGAATTCTTCAGGATAGATAGTAAGGAAAGTGCCAGCGACATGCTTGGGGGTGATTTTGTTGATAAAGCTTATAGTCTAAAGCCTGAAATATTCAACTCGCTTTCTCCATTCCAAGATGATGATGTGGATTCTGAAACGCAAAGTATAGATGTTGATAAACCAAGTGTAAGACCTCAGGACACTATAAGTAGAAGCTCTAATGACTCTGTCCCTGTTATATCTTTTAAAGATGCTGCTGTAGATGATGTTAGTAGCATTGATGAAGGTAGACCTGATCTTCTTGTCAATCTTCCAGGGACGCAGCTGGTAGACACGGTGGAAAGTCTCAACAACTTGTGTTCAGAGAAAGATGTCATGGACTCTAAGCTACTTGAAACTCCTGATGTATTACAGATAAAGAGCAGCCTAGATCAAATTATTAAACCTCAAGAGAATTTGCTTGTAGAGGACGTTTCTTCTAAAGAACCATCCCAAGACATAACTTTATGTCCGGTCAGTGTTGACAATATTAAAGGATCTGTGTTGACGGCAAATCCAGAAGGTTCTGACTTACCGCTTAGCCTAAATTTTTTTGAACATGTATCCGTTCAACCATCCTCTTCTGCCACATCTTCATCCCTGTTAGACTTGACCAACAAACAATTTTTAGAGACCAGCACTCCTAATCTACATTCTGCCACTTCTAGTATTTCTAACGAGTTAACTGCAAACCTTTTACAACTGCAGATTAAAATTGAGGACACGGACAAGGTTTCTGACAGGAGGAGAGAATCAAGGGAAGAGCAGGAGATACACAAAATTTTTCAGGAGCTCGATGCCAAACTGTCGGAGGCCGCCCATTTAATTATCCCCGAGTCTTGCATCCGGAGATGGGCCGCTGAAATAGTCGTAGCCCTCGACGCTCTCCACCGAGAAGGAATTGTGTGTTGCGATTTGAACCCAAACAACATCTTATTGAATGATAGAGGTCAGGAACTTTTGCAAATGCATTTCTTTTTTATTCCAATGTTGGTTCCAATTAACTGGGTAGGCGTTTTATCTTGTAATTAGTATCTTCATTTCCTGTCTGCAGCTTCATTATCAGTGCTGCAAATTCACCCACTGTAATAGCTTCTACTACTTAATGATGCCATTATTCTTAATGATACTGTTTTTAGCTAGAAAGGAACGTAATTACAGTTCACTTGTAGGGAAAATGGAAGGGAAACATGTTTTGATTTCTCCCGTCATTTTGTTTTTAGGACACATTCAGCTAACGTATTTTAGCAGGTGGATGGAGGTTGAAGATTCGTGTGACAGCGAAGCGATGGAAAGGATGTACTGTGCCCCAGGTTAGCTCAATCACCTCATGCCTTTCACTTGAAAAGTAGATTAGCAGCTTTCATTTCCTCCCGCAGCTCGTGTAACATACTTTTTATTGGACGTGCAAGTTAATGCATGGCCTGATATTCACACTAATTCCTGTCCTGTCATGTCACATTGCAGATATGGCTAGTAATTGAAGCCTTCTCGAATCGTAAATAGTTCTTTGTGCATCTCTACTTGTCATTCTGTTATCAGAATGGGTAGACATTTTACAGATACGTATCCTTGCTGGTCCATGAGTTAATTTTTTTTCCCTTTAGCTATATGGTTAAACATGATTAAATCACAAAGGTGAATCTTTGAATTAGGTGCATTTGCATGGACTTTAGTTTGTTATGGCCCCTCCTTGTACCACATGACTGACCTCGCTAAAGGTCTGTTTAAAAGAGAAAGGGAAAGTAAAATGTTTGTATAGATTATGCCATAAGGCAGCTTATTTGCAAGCGAACTCTTTGGCCCCATTCACACTGCGCGATACGCAAATCGCACGTTTGTCGCGCGATTTGCATTTTGCGCGATATCGCACGATTTGTCGCGCGATATCGTGCAAATGCTTGAATTGAGCAAGCGAGAATCGCCGCAAAATCCGCTCCAAAAAGGGTCCTGCTGTAGCGACACACGACCCGCGACAGCAGGACCCTATGCCCCAGTGCAAAGCATTGAAGAGCGATATCGCGCGGTAAATAGCCGCGATATCGCGGGAATTACCGCGCGATAAATCGCTCAATGTGAACGGGGCCTTTTAAGTAAAAAAAAAAAGTAGTCCAAGCCTTAAATAAAATTCTTGCTCGCGCTGCAGTACTCCTTCGTTCGGTGCTGGTCCTCTTCCAGGATGACGCCCAATGTAATTCAACTTACTTTCTATGAGACCAGGGCATCAAGGACACACCCCCTGGTGGTGCATCATAGGTAGCCAGGTTGGGCTAACAGAAGAATCCTACAGAGAACAAAGCTCATTATGTGGCACCGTTCTTTGCAGAATTCAGGACCCGCCCACTGCCAGAGAAAGAGGATATGCCAAGTTTTTCCATGTGTTTATAGAACCACTGCCAAATGTGCACTATTTGGCTCATAACCAACTCATTGGTACATAATTAGCTGACGAAAGCTGCCACAGTTTGTCCCCAGAGACTCAGTTTCCCAACTGGGTGCCACCATATTGCTTCTCTTACAGTGTAGAGAAATTTAAGGCTGGCACCTGCAGCCTGCATGTCAAAGACACCTCAACCTTTTCTCTGACAGTCACATTTAATTGATTTCTGCACAGCTGATGACAAATGTAATGGCAACGGGGAGTGGCTAGATAGGGAGATTAGGGCTTAGCACCTGACTTTTGACAGAGTAAAAATTTGCATATCAATACTGTTTTAGTTTTGGGGAAAGGCTGAGTGTGCTTGGAAAAACCTGTAAAGTAGATTGACGGTACCACTTTGCATGCTTGCGGAATGGAAATGTTATTGTTAAACCTTGAGGTGCATACAGGAAGCATAGCCCCCTGACATCTGTGTACTGTTCCAGTCCACTCTTCCTTTTTTAGTGTTATTTAATGATCCTGGAATGTATCTGCCGGTATTGTTGGAACATCCACCTTACTGTCTTTAACATACAGAAAGTCTGATATCAAAAAATACTAGTTACTCATTTATTTACCTACCTTGTAAAAGAGAGAAAGAGAGAGATAAAGCTACCTACGTTTGTATACTACTACCGCCTTCCATTTGACTCTCTCTTCTCTTAGTGCTTATTCTGCGCTGGGCTTCATAGAATGGAGATTAACGTAAAGTGAGTGAACCTTCTATGTAGACAGAATTACTAGATTACAGAATGCTTTTGCTTGGTACTGCTATTTAAAGAGTGCAATATGAAAACACAAGAGTAACCAATAAGTACTCTTTAATAGATTTTGGATGCATTGTTTGGTAGAAAAGCGAACAATCCACCTCTGCTTTTGATCTACTAATACTCCAAAACCTGCTTACAGCCCAGATATTCCAATTTATGTTCAGGGACTTACTGCTTTGGTCTTGGACACAGCAGTACCGTAGGTACCAGGTAGACTCAGTTTCGGTAAAGCAGCTGGGAACTAGGGGCACTGGAACAGGTACTTCAGTAAAGGCACTTTTGGAATTTATTTTGTAGTTGGAATTGCACTGACCTCACAAGTCATTCCCCAAGAGTAGTTGCAGAGTGTTGTTGAGGCATCAGAAATACTTACATAGGACTACGCACTGGTCACGTGGTCTCTGTTGAAGGCATTTGGGGAGGTAACATTGGGGTAGAGTCAGCAGATTAACATCTCTACCTACCCTTCTTCCTCCCTTTCACAAAGACCTAAAAATAGAAAGGCAAGTACTCTGGATGTCTCTGCAACAGTTTGTTAAATTAAGATGGTTGATTTCAATATGAAAGGGCCCTAGTTATAAAGCAGCGTCCGTACTGCTGCTTTATAAAAAGAAAAAAAGACCTGCACATTTATAAAGCGGTGTGCTTTGTGAATGTACATTGTGCTCTGCTTGCTTTGGGACTCCAAAGCAGTGTAAGTGCCATTCAAGTACATAAAAAAAAAAGCAATGGAAGGGGAAACCTGGTCACATGCCCTGTCAGTCATGTGACCAACCTCACCTGCAGGCAGAGACAACTCTGTGGTACACTGCAGGCTGACTTTATTGAATGGAATGTAACAATGTATGCCAATACAGTTGTGAAGTAACATGCAGAGCTTTATCTACTTTCTGCTGTAAATATTCCCTAAAGTATTATATCTGTGTTCAATTTATAGCTTCTAAACCTCATTTACAAATTGAAAACAAGCACTTAAAGGCACATACTCATTTTGTTTGCATACTTTGTAGAGGATTCTGATGTGATGTTAGTTCTCACAGTGGTGGGCCAGTAGGCAAGGGCGAGAGGCACAAAAATGACTTTCTAGAACTGAAGCCTGTTATTGGTGTATTAGAGCTTCATATGTGATGTGAACATACATTTAGATGCCTTTAGGTGGCAGATTTTCTTGACTGTTTAATGTTTAGGGGCTTAAAAGTGAACACATTTTAAACAGAAATAGAGGTTGGACATAACCTGATATGAGGTAGAGAAGTCTGGGAATAAAGGAGGTTGGTCAGTTGTACAAACACAATCTTTGTACCCTTAGACAGATCTCGGAGCAGAGTAGTCGGCAAAAAAAAAAAAAAGCAACAACAATAAAACTGTTAGAAAACCATAAAACTTCCCTTTAAAGCCCAACCGCAATCTCACAACTTGTTATATTTCTTTATAGTTCTGATTTGAGACCTGTTTTTTTCTTGGAAACACCTTAAAATAGCTTTTTCTGCAAGTGAAAATGTTGCTTCCTGCTCTCATACTCCAGTTCTCTATGCTGGCAAAACAGAGTAGCAGCCACACTCTTTTTTTCACGATTGTCCTTTCACATACTTGTACAGTAAGAGTGGGTAATGTCAGCCCACCAAGTCTGCCACCAAGTGCTGATTAGAGACCCCAATTCTAAACCCTATTGAACTGCATATTCATTTCTAGATACCCTGCACAACTGTTGTAAGAGGAAAGTTGAGGTAAGATTACTGCGAAAAGAAGTTTTACTTGGGCCAACAGGGTGACCTGATGCACTACCTCTGGTAAATTAAGTTTGGTCTTTAATGTCAGGGTGAGAGGTGAACAAAGGTCTCACTTAACCAAAGTAACAAACACAAGTAAACCATAGTAAGTACTTGTTCATACATGTTCTCTTATGCTTATAGGGGATTGGCAGTATCCATTCTAACCAACTGGATATGCTCAAATTTTAGAACTGTTAGATGTAAACATAGCAAGTGGGGTTTTTTAAACAGAAAGTGTTTTATAATGAATAAGCTGTCATTGTAGCAGTAATAAGATAATATCTACCACTGCTTTCTGTGTTGATGCTGGTATTCGGTGTCCCAAATTTGTTTTATGTAATTGGCACACAATACTCATAATAGAATGTGGCTAGTACACCAAGGTCAGGTGTCCAAAAATGACTTTATTGACGCATGTCCATCTTGTCACAGAGAAGGCAGCATTTCGGGGCTACTTTGGGTCCCTTCGTTAGGCGCAATCTTCACCCAAAGTGGCCCCGAAACTTTGGACATGCGTCAATAAAGATGACCAGTGAAACGTCTTCAAGAAAAATACAGCAAGTCCAGTGGCCTTGACTTATTTTTTACAGATATACCATGACCTGGATGAATGAGAACCTTCACAGACATATCAATAAATACATTTTTAGACACTTGACCTTGGTGTGCTGCTGGCATTCTGTTATCATTTGGATTCTAGCGGCACCATTAGCAGTCCCTTCCATCCACAAGGGGTAAATCGGTAAAGAGTGCGGTGGAATATCTTTTTGGAATTGGGATGCAATAAGTCACAGACCTAACCCTCTTTTCCTTACCCTGTTTCCCTCTTAGCTCTTCCGAAGTTCTGTCTAAAGTAAGGTTGACCTATATGAACTGCAGGGCAAAATCAGCAGATCCATTATACAAAATGAAGTATTTCCAAGACAAGTTGGGGTGGGGTGGATGGTTTGTTCAGATGATTGGGGTGTTTTACAGGGAATGTGTCAGGATCTGGGCCGTATTTTTAAACAATTTGCGAACTGAGATTTGAGCACCATTTCATCGTATGCTAGGCAATGTTTTTCACATTTATAAAGGATTATGTAGTGGAGAAACGGGGAACTTGATTTTTTTTTTTTTAATCTTTCAAACAAAAGTGCTCTATTTTTAGTAAAAAAAAGGTGAACAAACCTACCAGTAAGTACATTTGCAACAGTCTGCACAGTTTTTGTCCTTAAAGTCTCTGTATGCCTCTTAATCAATGTGGTGCGCTTCAATAATATACGGTAAAAACAGTTTAAAGACAGTTGGGCCAAAAATGATTCTTCTACCGCTTGTGTGTGTGGATACCTAATATGTGTCCTGTAGGTATC